CCTTTTTTTAGGTGCTAGAACAAACAGTTCTTTCATTTGGCAGCTTTGAGTTTTCCCAGGCAGGAACTTAGGGTACTGGAGTACTCATTCTAGGAACATAGCCTTGACCTGTTTGAAACTATGCTACTGTGGAAGTGTCTTAACCCATGATGTTCTCCTGAAGTTCTTAGAGCTCACCCTGGAGACCTTAGGTCATCAGAGAGCAAATCCAAGACAGGGCTTCTCTGACTGTAAACGTGGCATGGGAAATGAGGTGAGGGAAAAAACTCAAGCCCATGCTGTCATCTACTGTTTCATAAAGTTTGACTATGGAGGACATAGAGAAATAGAGGACCAGTGTGATTATGAAACAGAGTGAAGGGAAGATTGCTTTCAAACTGGGCTTAAGCCCAGCATGTTTGAAATCAGAACTTAAGAAGTTAGAGAACAGAAAGAGAAAATGGTGGCATAACACTCTAGGATATTTAAAAACTCATTTCCCCCTGCTCTCTGTATGTACCTGGGCTTTGATTTTCTTGGGAGTATATCAGTTATTCCTAGAGTGCCTTAATATTTACAGAGGCTTCATGAAGGACATTCATCCTAAACCCCATCAAACACAGCTGAGTCCTAAAACTATATAATCTTCAAACTGCATTTTTTGGTGGAGAGCAGGTAATGCCCTGTATTCTTGATGACAGATGATGCCAATAAGAATTTCAGTTCTTTAGGCAGACTGCCCTGGGTCCAAGTCTGACCCTGACATTGAAATGAGGGATGGTCTTAGGGAATACTCCTCTTCCATAAAATATGGATAAGAAAGTTTCTATCCAAAGTGATGTTGTGAGGTATAAATGAGCTACTATATATAAAGTATGGCTCACAAAAACCTAACATTTATCATTAGCAGTTCAAAAAATAATTATTTTCAAATGTGCATTTCAGATACAAATATTTATCAGTTTCAGATGAGCATACAATAATTTATCAATAATAGTTTCATTATAAAATTGATGTTCTGATCCAAATTTCAAATGCAATATAAAACCACACTTGAAACACTGAATGAAGAAAATTTAAGGTTGTTCAGCTAGTGTAGGTTGAACTAGTTTCCCTGTGGGCTTTTATAACAAAGTACCACTAACTGAGTAAACTAAACCATAGAAAGTTTATCCTCTCGTAGATCTGGTGATATAAGTGTGAAATTATGGTGTCAGCAGGACCAATTCCCTGTGGTGGTTCTAGAAGAATGCTTCCTTACCTTTCCTGGCTTGCCTGGTTCCCAGCAATCCTTATCATTCTTTGCCTGTGGCAGCACAACTTGTTTCTCTACTTTAGTCTTTACATGGACTTTTCCCTTGCATGTCTCTAAATCTCTCTCCTGATGACACAGTAATTGGTTTTGAGGCCTACTCTAAGCCAGTGTGACCTCATCTTAACTTGAATACAACTGCAAAGATGCTATTTCCAAATTAGTTCACTTAAACATATCTTTGGGGCAGACACAATTGAACTATAAATAGAGAAATAGCTGCAAAGAAATAAGTAAAGGAAGACCCATTTTCCATCTCAAAACTTGAAATAATAATAGAACCCAGCAGCCTATGTGATAAACTTTTCCCTTCCTTCCTTCCTTCCTTCCTTCCTTCCTTCCTTCCTTCCTTCCTTTCTTCCTTCCTTCCTTCCTTCCTTTTCTCCTCTCTCCCTTTCTTCCTCCTTCCTTCCTTCCTTCCTTCCCTCCTTCCTTCCTTCCTTTTTCTTTCTTTCCAGGGCTTGAACACAGGTGAAATTATCCACTGAGCCACATTGCCAGCCATTTTAAATTTTTTAAAAATTTGAGACAGGTCTCTAAGTTGCTGAGTCTGGCTTTGAACTAGCTCTAGCAATCCTCTTGTTTTGGCCTCCCCAGTCACTGGGATTACAGGCATGGGCCACCATGTCTGGCTACCTGTTTCTTTTTATGAACTTGTAAACTGAAGTAAGGGCCACACTGCCATGATAAGATTTCCATTTTGTCATTCCAGAACCACTGGGATGGATGATGACAACAGGGATGGGTTGTGGACATGCAGGCTACTCTTTACAGAGGCTGTGAGTAGGGGCTATTACAGCAATTGACTTCCTATAACAATAAGCATTATTCAAGCCCCTAGTAAGAGGGCTGATTAAATAAATTATGGTATAACTATATAGTGAGTTATTAGGAAACTCTTAGAAAGAATGCAAAAAGATGTATATGTACTTTCACAGAAAGGTGAACCATTATATAAATGTAAAGGTACTCGTTTTACAAATGGCAAGATTTCCTTTGTTAAAACTCAGAAGTATATGTTTAGAAGCAAAAGTGCCTATTTAGAGGCATGGTATAGAGAGCTGTTGAGAACAGTGCCACACTGCTGCTTTGACTTCCCTTACAGACTGCTCTGGTGATGCTGAAGTGGTTCTGGAACCATGAGAGCCTGCCCCTTGTACAAATTTATATTGAAATATAAATGCAAAGATTACTAATTCAATTTCTTCCAGAACAGTTATGTAATACCTGAGTTTAAGTTGTGTTGCTGGGAGTGGTGGTGCATGCCTAATTCCAGCGACTCAGGAGGCCAAGACAGGAGGATGGCAAGTTTGAGGCCAGCCTCATCCACTTAATGAGACCCTCAGTAATTTAGTAAGATCCTGTCCCAAAATAAAAATAAAAAGGACTGGGGATATATCTCATTGGTAAAGAGCCCCTGGGTTAGATCCCAGTATAAATAAAATAAAATGGTTGTATCCTCACAAGAAATGAATGTTACAGATCTGGTTAGATCCTATCCACTTAGGGACCCCAGCATTAAAGAACTTCAGTGTGACGTGCTGAATATGTTTGTATTCTCCCTGCCTCAGTCACCAGCTTACTTACTGTAAGATTTTTAATTCCTGATTAAATAATGAAGAACTTTTTAATTTTATTTTATTTTGTTGTTATATGAGAAAATCTAAATTTGCAATGGGTATATGGTTCCTTTCCACCAACCCACCTGAAATACTACAGTTGTGGGTTTGACTAGAAGAAAGGTGTCAGGAAATCAAGAAAAGTGAGCTGAGAATCCCCAAGGCCCCATGGTAAGTCGCATGGAGAAACTGAGTCATCAAGGCCATATTCTGTGAAGAAGTTCTAGACATAGCCTTTGTCCATTGTCCCCTACACTAACTGGTTAGGCACAATGGAGAGAGGTCTTAGCCAAGGGAGTAGTGAGCTCAAGGGCTTAAATGCATTGATATGAGGCAGTCAACTTCAGAGAGAGTTGAAGAGCTGGGGGATGAGTAAGTTCCTGAAGATGCCCTTCAAAGCTCTACTAAATGTCAGTCAGTCCATGTATTAGTCTCTTTCCTATTGCTATAACAAAATGCTTGAGGCTGATATCTTATAAAACAAAGAGATTTATTTGATTTATAATTTTGGTGGCTAGAAGGTCCAAATAGCATTGAGCCAATGTACTGGTGACAGGCCTCTACTGCATCAAAACATAGCAGAGAAATGGAAAGTCATATGTAGAAGGAGTCAAGCACATGGGGGTGGGGTGGGGGTTGCTCACCTTATTACAACCTGCTCTCTTGAGAACTAAATCACTTCAGGAGACCAGCATTAACTCCTCCCAAGAGTAATCTAATTGCCTTGCACTAGTCTCTACCTCTTAAAGATTCCACCATCCCAACACCATCATTGAACTTCTAGGACATGGAATCTTTGGGGGGCACACTCAAACCATGCCCCAATCATAACAGCTTCCAGATGTGGGTAGAGGTGAGAGTAGAACTTGGTAATGGTGTCACTTTTTTCACATTAATAGTCAAAAAACTTTTTTTCTGGGGGGGGAGCGGAGGGAAGATGGAGTAATAAGACCACACAAAGAAAGAAAAGTCTTCATCATAGTATTGCTGTTGTAGCATTTCTGTTGTAATATGCTTTAGTCACTGTTTTTAGAGGAAGAAGCCTCCTGATAAAGATGCTAGAAACTAGGAGCTCCATGATTTGTGCTGATCAATAGTAATTTTAATCTAATCTGAAAAAAGAAAGTAGGTAAAAAGGAATTAATAAGATTTAAACCCAAAGCCATCATTAATTATATATTAAAATACAAATCCTCTTATTAAAATAAGTTATTAGATTAAATTAAAACAACAACAACTATATGCTATTTCTAAGAGGCACATCTAAAAATAAGGGTACACAAAGGTTGAAAGTAAAAGAATGGAAAGAGATAAGCCATGTAAGAGTGATCAAAAAGAAGACAGTGTTATTAATACTAGGAAAAAAGAGACTAAGTAAGCAAAAGGCATTATACTAGAGATAGAGCTTTGCTTCATAAAGATAAAATTGAAATTCAGGAAGATATAACAATTCTATTATCTGTGTGGTCTCAATAAATCTAAATTCACAGAATTCTAAGAAGAAAGTACCTCAACAATTATCTCATTAATTGATAAATAAGCAGACAAAAATTCATCAAGAGCAGAGAAGATATGACTAATCCATTACAAACTCAATCTAATGCCTTTATATAGATAACTGCACCTAGCATTTGCAAAACACATGTACTTTTCAAGTGCCCAGGAACCTTTTCACTAAGGTCAAACATGCTAGGCCATAAAGCAAATCTTGACAAATTTTGATTGCAATCACATGGAGTGGGGTTTTTTAAATATTTATTCTTTAGTTTTAGGTGGACATAATATCTTTATTTTACATTTATGTGGTGCTGAGGATGGAACCCAGTGCCTCATGCATGCTAGGCAAGCACTCTACCACTGAGCCACAACCCCAAACCCACATGGAGTATGTTTTCCAAATACAATGAAATAACTAAAATCTAACTTAGGAAGTCCCCATATGTTTGGAACAGTAAAAATATACTTCTAAATAACTCATAGTATATTGGCTGTGCTTTCCAAGTTTTCATTTTTCTCTTTAATTATTTGTGGTTTCCTGGTTTTTCTTGTTCACTCATACCAAAGGTTTTCCCTCTTTCCAAAATACCAACCTGACTTTGCTGATCTTCTCTACTGTGTTGTTTCCTGTTTTCATGCTCTTGTCTTCATTATCTCCTTTAACTTAAAAAAAAAAGACAAATCATTAAGTCAATTTAACAATAATGTTTGTACAAAGTTTTTAAAATTAAAATACAGGGTTCTTTTTCATTAACCTTTAAATAACTTTATGTAAAATATGAGAGATTTATACAATCTGAAAAGAAACCAGATTATTAAAGTAACTTATGCATCAGTCATTTTCTAATTTTACATACAGAAAAATTATAGACAGGACAGGAAAACAATTCATAAATATTTCATTGACTGGAATATTTCCCTTAAGGTTTACATTCAAGACCAAAGAAACTTTGCCTACCATCCCAGGGCCTCTTCCTTTTAGATCCTAAAGAACACTCAAAAAAAAAAAAATATCCATGGTTAAGATGATCCATGGATAAGCCTGGCTCTTGCCAACACTTCTGAGTAAGCTCCAGAATATTTGGGGATTTCTAAGAAAACACGGGGGAGAAGTGAAATGTGTTCAGCATAAGTGGGCAAGGCTGCCTACGCCAGAGAAGCAAGCATATATGTAGCAGCTTTCACCTCACCCAGCACTCTTCATTCCTGGACTCAAGTGGGAGACTCTTTTCCCTGACCCTTGACAGAAACAAAGCATGTTTGCTTAAAAACAACAGATTGCTTGCTTAGAAGCAAAATACCACTGAGAAACTATATTAAAAATTTTTTTTCTCACATCTCTTCTCAAAGTGTATGCACATATGGAGTGATTTTTTGGAAGGGTTTTCTTAACTTTCAGATAGGAATTGTCTTCTATTGTCTGAATGTCTAGATGTCCTTGGACAGGAGCCATTATACAGCCAGACTTACTGATTCATCCTTATAACAAATAATTCTCACTGCAGGCATTCTTCTTAGGGTTCTAATAATACTAACTTTTTAACCTCATTACAACAGTTTGTTTCCATTATCTTGACAAAAGATGGTTGAGGACATACAAGCATAGAAAGAAAAGTTTGTGTGCATGTATGAATATGTAACAACAAATCCTACCATTCTTTACAACTATAACGCACCAATTACACAGACAGATATAGAAATACACAGATAGATATAGGAGCTGTGTGCAGTGGTGCTCACCTGTAATGCTAACAACTCAGGAGACTGAGGCAGGAAGATCATAAGTTCAAAGCCAGCCTCAGCAATTTAGTGAGGCTTTAAACAAAGCCTTTTCTTGTCTCAAAAGAAAAATTAAAAAGGGCTGGGATGTGGCTCAGTGGTTAAGTGCTGACTATACTTGGTTGACTTTCTTCATGGATTTAATACTAACTGCTACCTGGGCAAAACCAATACTATTCGTGGCCTGAGAACTGTGAGGTATAAATGGGAACAGTGTCTCAGTGGGAAGATAAATTGAATTTAAAATGTTCTATTTTCTTCAACACGTCTCTGGACTAAGTCCCTGAGCTGAGGCAAGTAGAGCCATGGAGAGTCCTCCCAGGAACTTCTCTGGGGGCAGCTGTCTCCAAATTCTTAACGTCCTTATGCAGACTTCAGGTCTCCATTTTCTAGCCTCAGCTAACTCATCCTCAGGTGTTCCCCAGATGTTTTTTAATCCCATGAGGAAAAGTTTCCTTGAATCATACAGCTAGTATTTAGTACCATTTTACCACTCAGAAGCTCCACATATGAACTACATAAAATTACATTTTAGGTTTTCATCTTAGACAAATTCACTAATAGCAATTGAGATGAGTGGGGGCTGGGATTGTGGCTCAGCAGTACAGCACTCGCCTAGCTTGTGCAAGGCCCTGGTTTGATCCTCAACACCACATAAAAATAAAAAAATAAAAATAAAAGTATTGTGACCAACTACAACAAAAAAAAATTTAAAAAAAAAGAAAGAAATCGAGATGAGTGCTTCTGTGCAAGGCTCTTCAATATTCACTGTTTATTCAGGTTTTGCCTTCATGATTTCTTTTCCCTTCTTCCCTCATCCTCTTCTTAACTCTCCTGTAAGAGGACTAAACACATTCCATACTCCTTCTCATACTACCCATATCCACAAGATGTAAGCCCTTTAGTAAATTTTGGTAAGTTATGTTTTTCTAGGTATTTTCTCATTTTATCTAAAATTTCTAATTTATTGGCATAACATTGCAATATAATACCTTCTTATAGTTTTAATGTGATAGCATTTTGTAACATCAAACTTAAGACATTCTCCTAGATTTATATGCCCAAAAAATGCTATCTTGAAACTTTTGTAAGTTCTCAAAGGGAATGTTCTCAAAGGGAAAGTTCTCAAAGGGAATGTTTTTCCAATTATGCAGAATGAGAGGTTTTTTGTTTTAAATATTTTTAGTTGTTAATGGACCTTTCTTTTATTTATTTGTATGTGGTGCTGAGAATCGAACCCAGTGCCTCATGCATGCTAGGCAAGCACTTCACCACTGAGCCACAAACCCAGCCCCAGAATGAGTTTTTAAGAAACACAAGCAACAGTGCACACTATGGTTTTGGTGAGCATTGGTGAGGTATAGGCATTGTAATTTTACAAAAATGAACTATTTCTTTGTGATTTGGCTCATCATAGACTGTTACATCCTGTTCTCAGAATTGTTGACTTAAGGAATTTAGAGGAAGTGAGGTATTCTCTTAGTTTCAGGGAGCAAGGGAATCAGTGTATGTTCAGAGAAGGAAATTTTACCCTGCTGTATATTTCCCCCTACTTTTTATTCCTGACTTTGGTTATTTGTGCTTTCTCTTTTTTTCTTGATCAGTCTCATGAGAGTTATGTCAATTTTGTAGTTTTCCTAAAGAAACATACATACGATTATTAATCCTATTTTTTCTATTTTGTTAATTTCTGCTTTTATTACTTTTTAACATTTTTGGGGGGATTTGTTTTAACTTTTTGAATGGTGCTTAGGTACCAAGTTTTTGATTTTTCTAAAAATATTTTTAAGCTATAAATTTCTAAGCACTGCTTAAGCATCTTCCCACTGTTTGGGTATGTGGCATTTTTATTATCATTCAGTTAAAATATTTTTTATCTATGAACCATGATTTATTCATGTATTGTCCATTTCTGAATATAATGGGAAAGTCCTAGTTATCTTTCTTATTAATTTCTCATTTAAATGCATGACAGAATTACCCTGATTTCCATCCTTTTAAATTGTTGAGATTTACCTTATGGCTCAGCACATAGTCAATTTCTGAAAATGTTTCATGTGTGTTTGAAAGAGCATGTGTATTATTGATACAATAGTACATGTATATCCATTAGATTGCTTGTTAATCATATTTTTAAATGATTTTAAACCATATCTTTACTCATTTTTAGTCTGCTTGCACTGTTAATTATTGAGAGAGGTGTCAACAATCTTTCAACTGCTTTGAATTTTGTGAATGTTTCCCCACTTTTGAGCCATATCGTTCAATAAGTTCTAACTTAAAACTGCTATATCTTTCTAATATTTCCCCTGAAATTTTGTCTTGAAGCAATGGCTCTCTTTATCTCTAGGAATGGTTTGTGCCATAGTTTCTATTTCAGCTAATGTTAGTCGAGATATGGCAGTTTTCTATTGACTACTATTTGCTTTATATACTTTCTTTCTATTCTTTTACTTTCAAACAGTCCTTATATTTGAGTCTCCTCTAAACAGCACAGAGTGGGGTCTCTTGTATTTTTGTCCTGATGAAGTATATTGGATATAAATACTGATATTTTTGGCTTAAATATTTACCATCTGGTTTTTTCTTTGTCCTATAAATTGTTACTTTTCTTTCATTTGCGATTTTCATTTAAAAAAAAAAACCTCATTATTCTATCCATTAGTATCAAAATTAGACTTTCTACTTTATGATTTTATAATTACAAGATTACTCAAAAACTTTATATTTCTAGACCACCTCAATCCTTTATTTTTCTTGATTTGTTATTGTCTGGTGTTTTAAGTCTACTTTAACATCTCTAGATTATAATTATTTTATGTAAAACTTTCCTTTACATTTGCCCACATTTCCTACTCTTTGCTCTTCCTTAATTTTTACATCTCATAACTCTTTGTGGTATTGCCTTTCTTCTATAAGTTCTTTAGAATTTCCTTTAGTGAGGGCCTGGAAGGGATCAATAAAATAAATCTTTTCTCAAATGAAATTTTTTTAAAAAAAATTGTGCTTATTTTGTCCTCATTCTTGATTTTCTTCCCATTGGCTATAACATTCTAGGTTGAGTTATTTTCTATCTTTATACTACAATTAATTCCACTCTTGGCTTTTATTGCTGAGGAAACTAACAGTTGTTTCTTTGATAGTAATTTTCGTTTTGTCTTTTGCCAAGAACTTTTTCCTCCTTAACCCATTAAGTCCCAAGTTTTCAATGCTACATAGAATGATGGGACATATGAAATAATTTTCTATAGTAACACTATGATATCTGTAGGTGTGGTTTTCATAAATTTACCTTGCTTTGTGTTCTTTGGGGTTTGAAATCAGTAGGCATATTTTTCATTGACTGTAAAAAATTCTCAGCCCAATGTCTTTCCTTTTTCTTGTGTCAAGACTATGACTAAATACATATTAAAAACTTCTCAATGAAGCCTCCCCATCTCCTATATTATCCTATTTCCATGCTGCATCCTGGACATCTTTACATATCTTTCAATTAATTCCCTTTTCTGCATGTCCCACTCTATTGCCAAATACATCTTTAAATATTTTAAGCACAGATGTTCTCATAAATATACCTGATAATTCAGTATGGGAAGTCTATGTGGGTCTGTTCCTTTCTTTTGGTTTTCATTTATGTTGCCATTTTTCTATGTGCTTATCTTTTGACTATTTAGTGAAATAAATAAAAATTATTTATAAGCCCTGAGGTTAGAATTGAAGAAGTCCTTTTCTGTGTGTGTGTTTACCAGGTGTCAGGTTGTTTTACTTAGATCTGAGTAAAGGTCTAGATCTGTGATCACAACTCATCAGGAATGCTTCCCCTTTCTCCTCTATTGGTTTGCTCAGTAACAAGGCAATTGTCTTTACACTTGGGGGAGTGGGGTCATATCTGATTCATCTTATCTTGAAAGGGTAGCATTTTGGGAACCCAGATCAACTGCAGAAAGATCACCTAGTAAGATTCATCATTTTGGGTGGGCCTGGCCTTGAACTTCTGATCTAGCATCCATTGAACAGCATCAGCAGTCTAGAACAAAAGCTGTATTGGTGTTCACCTCTTTAATTATAGGACCCCATTTTTAAAACCAGTCTTTTTAGCCTCCATGCTTTGAGAGGGAGGGGCAGTGCTATGGTCTAAATGTGCCCATTTGTTTCAAATTCGTTTGTTGAAACCTAATTGCCAATTCGGTGATAATGTTAGGAACTGGCACCTTTGGGAGGTGATTAAGTCATAAGGGTACACAATTTATGAACTGAATTAGTGCCCTTTGTTAAAGGAGGCCTCATGAAAAAGGAAAAGAAAAGCAAGGGGATCTCATGAATAACAAAGAGAAATCAGAAAATAGGGATCAGGGGGTGAAGGGAGAGGAATGCTGAGGAGTGATATTGGCCAAATTGTATATTTTGTGCATGTACATATATGTATGTAACAAATTCTATCTTGTTACATGTGAGGATGCAGGAAGAAGTTCCCATATACAAACCAGGAAATGGACTCTGACCAGGCACATAATCCAGACTTGCTAGCCTTCAGAGCTGAAAAATATATTTGACTCAGTTTGTGGTCTTTTGCTATGGCAACCTAAATGGACCAAGAGGGCAAATTACCTACCTTTTAAAGACACCCAAACTGATCCAAATAAAAGCCTATCTTTAAAAGAAAGTAATGTCCCACCTTTTTTCCCTTTACAAAGTTTTTCATTCATTTTTATAGTGTATTTTGTCATTTTAATGCTCATCTATGACATTTTCCCATGTACATTTGACTCTGAAATCTAGAGTTAAACAACATCTTGATCTCCCCCTTCCATATAATATAATCACTTTAGGCTTTTATGAATATCTTATTTACCTACTAAAAAAAGTGTTTAATTATAAGTTGGCAAATTTTGCTCCCCATGCCCTTGCATATTATATTGTTTTCTGTTCTTAAGTGGGTAGGGGTGGTTCCTCACAACCATAAATTACTGCACTGGCTTGAGTAGGTTTAGCCTAACTAATTGGATCTGCTCTTTGATGTCCACCTGGGGCAGCTGAAAAACAAGAGACCCCAGATATACTCAGTATCCGTATAAGCTCAATTTATCTGGCCCTAGAACTATTTAAGGCCTGGGTCAAGAGGCCAGGAGCCCATTTTCCAAGCATCTAAATAGATGGGGGCTGAAGTAGGTGCATGCCTCATATTCAGTGCACTGGAGTGCTTAGGATTCACATCTAAAAGGTGGCCAACCTCTAGTTTGTTACTTAACCTGCCTCCCTGAAATTAGGCACTGTACTAGGTCCAGTTGGAATCCAATGAATTGGAACTGTGTGTGAGCAGGAGGTGGTCAAATAACAGGCATCCTGATTGCCCTGGCCATGGGGAACATGGAAACTTCAGGTAACAGAATTGTCTTAAGAAGTCAGAGCTGGTTTCATCTTCAACAAATAAAAGGCTGATCTGTATCACAGCAACTACTGGGAATGGATACTCTAAGGCCTCCTTTTCTCCACTCACCAAACACCAACCCTGCCAGATGCCTAAACACATGTGCTGCTGCCTCTATTTATTTATTTCTCCTCCTCCCCATAAAAAGAAAGAAAAAACAACTCAATGTCTTTCATGCCTCCCTCTTTGTTGGCTGTGCTCACTTTCCTCTGAATACCTACAAAGGTTAGCTTAGTTCAGACATTCAATAGAAAGGTATTGTGATCTTTTTCTCTTATTTATATCTATCTCCCAGGTACTCCTGCTTCTATCCTCTTCATATTTGGTGCTTAGATAGTGGATTGTGCCTAGTAAATTCTTAACAAGTATTTGCTGAGCAAATTAATTCAAGTCTATATTGGATAGAGTCAGGTTTGCTAGTGTCATATGTAGAAAAGGACATACATCAAGTGTGGTCATGACATTTCAAAGTGGAACTGAGTGATAGAAATACTTCATCTCCTCCTTTCTTTATATCATCCATCAAAACAGTAGTAGAAGACAGTACTCTCTAGTGCTCCTAGAAAGCAGCATGGAAACTATCTGGCTGCAGTGACAGGAATCCTAATGAGATAGGAAACAATCTGACTGGAGATTGTTTTATAAACACAGATTCTGAAGCCACAGACAAGACTTAGAATTTAGCCTCTATTGATAAGCCCCACCCACAGTCTTTTTGGGAAAGTTGGTTAACTCAGAAGAGTTTACTTTTACCATGAGTTACCTAGCTAACACTTCTACATAGCTAACAATATTTTATATTAAATTCTAGCTGTTCCTAACAAACTGTTTCTGTGGGGCGATTTCTCACATGGCCTGCCTACTCCCACAAGTTATGATCTGGCCCCAAGATAAGAATCACTTTGCTTACCTGTGGTCCCCTCAAAATCTATCTGTACTTCTTCTAGTGGAGGCACCATCAGGTAAAATCTAAGTTACCAGGTTGTAGGATGAGTGTCCTGATGTTCTCTCTGGTTTAGATTTGGTATAACTTATTCCACAAAAATATAACACACAAATGGCTCTGTATATTTTTCTATCTAAAGTAAGTCACAGCCTGTTTACATTTGAGGAATTTCTTTATTGGAGTTCAATCTTACCTCACCACAATTACCTGGTCTTTATGGCAGAGCAGAATGAGCCTTGAACAAAGTATTCATAACATTTTACGACAGACAATATACACATGTAGTGCATGAAATCTTTACAACACATTCCAAAACAAACATTTGACAAGATTTAGAAACATGAATTTCCTCTCTCGATTACTAGTAGCTACTTAGTTTTTTAGCTACCACAATAAAATGCTCTCCTTCCCAACATTCCTATTCACAGGAATCCCTGAATTGATTCTTTCTGAAGGTGCAAATTCATGTTGAAGATTCATGTTCCATTAGTTATTGAAGATGGCAAAATACTCTCCATTGTAGGATCTTTTATGGTAGAATATGTGAATACCAGGTTTTCACTCATCACACAGTCATCATTTATTGAGGGGGTTCATTTGAAACTTTAATTTTCACCCATTCAACTCTTGAATTACAATAGTACATTTCACTCAATTTGCATTTTTATAATACTCTCCTATTCCTGTTAGATTTATAAGTCTATGCTTTTTACTTTACTACAAGGAAATCCAAATTTTTCTCATCCTATCCCCCAAACCATTCAATTACATTGTTAATAATCCATGATTACTAATAAATAAATTTATATTCCCTGAAGCCTATCTCTCCCTGAATTTGCCCTTTGGAGGCTCTTCTTGGATTTTTTTCCCCCCACGGACCAATACAATCTTATTGGGATGCAAAGCTATGCCTGAATTTCCTACATTTCTATTCACAAAATTTACCCAAATATGAACTTTCTAATGGTGACTTTGTGATTTCTAATTGAAGTTCTTTCTTCATATACGTTTTTATGTCTAGAAATGTCTGCTCACTTTGAGGATTTAAAAATATCCCATTGTTTTTGATAGGTTTTATTCCCATAATGGACTATTTTACACTCCAAAAGGGCTCAACTACTTTAACACTGGAGCCTTCTTTGCTGATTATGATTGAAAATCACATAGTAATTTAGATCTTGATCATCTAAAATGGTTTCACTTATACTATGAAATTTGTAAGCCATGAATAAGGGCCTCAGAAATTCTTACATTCATAAGGTTTTTCTTCTATTTGAGTTCTTTGAGACTCAGTAAGCTCTGTCTCCCACAGAGGCATCCTCATCCTGGTCCCATCCAGAACATTCCCACCCACGTAGATTATCTTCTGGGATGTGCTACTATAACTTTCCACACTTATCACATTTAGAGATTCCTCTCCAGTATGAATTCTTTTATGCTTGGTGAGATTTGATCTGATATTAAATGCCTTCCCACACTCATTACATCGATATGGCTTCTTTCCAGTATGAATCCTTTTGTGTTGGTCAAGGACTGATCTATAATTAAAGGATTTACCACATTCACAATTATAGGGCTGCTTCCCCTGGTGGACACTTTTATGGTTGATTAGACTCGAGTGTGAGATATATGCCTTTCCACATTGATCACATTCATAGGGTTTCTCACCTGTGTGGATCCTTCTATGCACCGTGAGGCCTGAGCTGTTCCTGAATGCCTTCCCACACCTATCACATACATAGGGTTTTTCCCCTGTGTGGATCCTCTTGTGTTGAGAAAGGAGTGAGCTGTAACTGAAAGATTTCCCACACTCGACACATTTGAAGGGTTTCTCTCCAAGATGGACTCTTTTATGGCTTATAAGTGTTCTGTTAGAGAAAAAAGCTTTTCCGCATTCATCACATGTATAGGGGGTCTTACCAGGATGGGTACTTTTATGGTTAATAAGGCTTGAGTGTGAGATGTAGGCTTTTCCACACACATCACATTCATAGGGTTTCTCCCCAGTATGTATTCTTTTATGAACTTTAAGGCTTGAGTTGTTTCTGAAGACCTTTTCACACCTGTCACATTCATAGGGTTTCTCTCTAGTGTGGACTCTTTTGTGTTGAGAAAGGAGTGAGGTGTAGTTAAAAGATTTCTCGCATACATCACATTTATAGGGCTTCTCCCCAAGATGAATTTTTTTGTGGTTTATGAGAGTTCGGTATGTGATGAAGGCTTTCTCACACTCATCACACTTAAAGGGCTTTTCCCCAGGGTGTACACTTTTATGATTTATAAGGCTTGAAAGTGAGATGTAGGCTTTCCCACATTCTTCACATTTGTAAGGTCTCTCCCCAGTGTGGATTCGTTTATGTACTTTAAGGCCTGAATTGTTTCTGAAGGCTTTGCCACACTCATCACACCCAAAGGGCTTCTCCCTTGTATGAATCCTTTTATGCTGTTCAAGTGCAGAGCTATAGTTGAAGGACTTCTCACAATAGGTACATTTATAAGGTTTCTCCCCTAGATGAATTCCTTTGTGATTTTTAAGGCTAGAGCGTGAGATATAAGCTTTCCCACACACATCACACTTATATGGTTTTTCTCCAGTATGAAGTCGCCTGTGGACCTTGAGGCCTGAATTGTTTCTGAAAGTTTTCCCACACACATCACATACATAAGGTCTCTCTCCAGTATGAATAGTCTTATGTTGAAGAAGAAGTGAGTTATAACTAAAGGACTTGCCACACTCCTTACATTCATGAGCTTTTTTTCCTGGGTGAATGCTTTTATGAACTGCAAGGCCAGAGCTATAGCTGAATGCTTTGCCACAGACATCACACTTGTAAGGTTTCTCTCCTGTGTGGATCCTTTTATGAACTATAAGGCCTGAGCTGTTCCTGAAGGCCTTTCCACATTCATCACATTCATAAGGTTTCTCTCCAGTGTGGATGACTTTATGTTGAATAAGGAGAGAGCTATAATTAAAAGATTTCTCACACTCGTCACATTTGTAGGGTTTATCTCCAAAGTGAATACTTTTATGATTTAGGAGTGTTCTGCAAGTAATGAAGGCCTTCCCACACTCATCACATTCATAAGGTTTCTCACCTGTATGGATTCTTTTGTGGACCCTCAGGCCAGAGCTATTACTAAAGGTCTTTCCACAGATGTCACATTCATAGGGCTTCTCCCCTGTGTGGATCCTTTTGTGGACTCTGAGACCAGAACTATTCCTGAAGGCCTTCCCACACTCACCACATTCATAGGGCTTCTCCCCAGTATGAATCCTTTTATGCTGGTCCAAAACAGAGCTATAATTGAAGGACTTTCCACATTCATCACACTTACAGTTCTTCTCCCCAGAATGGGTACTTTTATGGTTTATAAGGCTGGAATAGGACATGTAGGCTTTCCCACATTCATCACACTTGTACGGTTTCTCCCCAGTATGGATCCGTTTATGGACTCGAAGGCTGGAGCTGCTCCGGAAAGTTCCTCCACAGTCATCACACTCATAGCGTTTTTCCCCTGTGTGCATAATTTTATGTTGAACAAGGCGGGAATTATATTTGAAGGACTTCCCACACTCATCACATTTATGTGATTTCTTAAGAGCAATGGTATTCTGCTGTAAGCTGGCATGAGAGTTTCCATTAATGCTCTCAATACATTTACCTTGTTCACTGCTTTTCTGTTCTATAGGGACAGTCTGATGTGTAATATGCTTTGAGCTCAGATGTAAGCTTTTCTCAGATGCCTCATCTCGTTCTGTTTTTATATTTGTTGTGTTCTTGTTTTTGTCAATCTTCTCCCTGATGCCACTTTTGTCTTCCTTCATTCTTTTCCACTCAGGCTTTTCCAGTTGATTCCCTATTTTGCTATCCCAATCATGAGTTTTATCAATAGATTCCTGCATATGATCCTTGTGAAGAACTTCCATTTTTGGCCACTTAGCTTCTGCATTTCCAACATTTTCATATTTTTCAGTTGATTCCTCATCCTCAGTGCCCGTCTTCAAATGTGACACTAAACCAAGAAAATGAAAATGATACCTGTTCACTTTGTTTAGAAAAAACTGGAAGAATAACATTAAAATTCATTCATTCACTTGATAAATATTTATTGACTGCATGCACCATAGATACCATTTTAAATGCTGGAGATGTAACAGTAGTCATGACAAAATTTCTGTTAAAACCAGAGCTCTGAATTTCAGATCAAAGAGCTTTCTAATTCTTGCATAACAGTTTAGCATGACAGCAAGTTGAAATGATACACAGAATAACAGATAACACTGATCGGTTTTTGAACAATGTTACCTAGTCATGGAACAATGAACAGAAGGTAGGAAAAAATCTCTGAAGAACAGGAGACAGAAAGATTATTAAGATAAAAGTTAGGTTAGTCATATTTTTTGGGGGGGGTGTGGGGAGGGTGGTACTGGGTACTTTACCACTAAGCTATATCTCTAGTCCTTTTAAAAATTTTTTTTAAATTGTATTTTATTTTAAAACAAGGTCTTGCCTCAAATTTGCAATCCTCCTGTCTCAGTCTCCTAAGTCACTACAATTACAGGCATGTGACACTGTGCCTTGCATAACTTTTATTTTTAATTATGAAAGTTACACATAATCAGCAGAGGACAGGCAAACTAAAGAAATCAGTACCTGTGTAGGGTATCAAGGAGGTGGTTGTGGTTATGAAATCATGAGGATGATCACTGCAGAGATTAGAAAGAAAACAACCTGCAGCTGCCTGAAGTTGATTTGGCCTTCTGGACTTTCCCTCCAAGGAAAACACTGGCCCTGGAAAGTGATTAGGGAAGAACTCTACATGGAAGAACATGTTCCTACTTATAAACAGGCTAACTATTGGGCAAATCAAAGATTAGATGCAAAACCATGAACCAATGAGCAAAGAAAATACAGTTGGCTCACCATATCTGCAGATTCTGCATCTGCAAATTCAGCCAATAATGAATTAAAACTATACAGAAAAACAAAATTTCATCCACATGGAATATGTACAGACTTTTTTCTTGCCATTATTCCCTAAAAAATGCAGAATGAGAAAGATTTATATAACATTTACAGTGTTATAGTTATCACAAATAATCAAAGGATGACTTAAAGTACACAAGAGGATGTGTGTTGGTTATATGCAAACACTATACCATTTTATATAAAGACTTTAACATCTACAGCAGATTTTGGTGTCTCTGTGTGTATGTGGGGGTGTCCTGGAACCAATTCCTTTTGGTAACCAAAGAATTAATAGAATACTTCCTAAGTTCAAATACCCAGCTGTATGCCCCTGAGAAAGTTATTTAATCTCCTTATACAGCAGTTTGCTCCTGTGTAAAATGAAGGCAATGGAGTTGTTGTAAATATTAAATGATAATATGTGTAAAAGCACAGAGAATTGTGCCTGTTTTTTGGTGAGTGCTATATGTTATAATTATTTGTTGGACTATTAAAATGAAGTCCAGTTATTGGATTGAGGTTTAAACCTGAGTGATAAAGCACATGACTCAGAAAAGGTAAAATTCCAAAAACAGATTCTAAGATCTTTATTCCCTTGAAGTCATACTACGTATCATTTGTTCTCCATTCGTACCTATCTACTAAAATACTAAGAAAAGATACTATTCTAATTATTCTAAACTAGTTACTCCTAAACCTTAGACAATGAGCCATTTGCGATTAGACTTAATTAATTTTGAATTTTCTCCTCTTATCCTGAAGGCATATCAGATTCTTGGATAATTACTTTGAAATTTGGATAATCGTACTATGAAAACTCTATAAGTAAATGTTAGGAGGAAACAGGAGCAATAAAAGGAAGGTAAAATATATATTTTAGAGTACATATGAATAAAGAATTACAGTCAAGCTGGGCAGTGGCACGTCTGTAATCCCTACTCAGGAGGATGAGGAGAGAAGATTGCAAATTTGAGGCCAGCCTCAGTAACACAGCAAAACCCCGTTTAAAAGAAAGAAAAAGTAAAAGAAACAGTCATGATCTAACTTATGGATAGAAAAGACTCCAAATTAAAATTTACAAAATAGGGAGGCTAGGGTTGTGGCTCAGTGGTACAGCACTTGCCTAGCATGTGTGAGGCACTGGGCTCAATTCTCAATGCTACATATAAAATAAACGAATAAAATAAAGGTCCATCGACATCTCAAAATTTTTTTTTAAATTTTACAAAACAGGAGAAGCAGTTAGGAACTCAGGAGATCACTAGGAAGACAATCATTCAGTAGACATTAAATCAAAAGGTATTTCAGCTGAGAGAATATCACAAAATGACTATTATGTAATTAAATATTATGTAATATTAAATACTAAGTAAGAATCAACTGAGGTCACTGAGGAATGGTGGCATGGCTTACTTCCCTGCTTCCTTTTATTACTTTGGTCCATGTCACTTAAAGTGTGAGGGCTACTATTTGGGCATAATTCCAGAACCATTAGCTGCAATACATCTGTGCTCAGAATGCTGTTCCCATACATATCAGGTCCCTGGTCCACTCATTTCCTTTTCAACTTTGGCCCTTCCACTTATACTCTCCAGGACAGAAAAATGTTTATGCTTCTATAGTAATAAAGCCAAATTTCTCCTTTAAAAAATACAAAAGAAAAAATCCACAAAAAATTATTAAGGTTAAAAAAGAACAAAAAGGCTAAGGGGGTACAAGTCATACTAGATATTAAAATATACTATAAAGCTTCTATAATTAAAATAGTGTGGTACTGGTACATAAATAGAAGAAAGTTCAGAAACTTCCCCAACTACACATAGAAATCAATGGTAAAGATGGTATCTCAAATTACTAGGTAAAATCCATCTTTTATGTTTTAACAACTACAAAGCCATCTGGAAAAAGATATTAGATCCATTCTTCATAACATACATAGGAATAAACTCCAAATGGAACATAGCTCTAAATAAAAAAGCTATACAAAACATGGGTGAATGCCTCTGTAACCTGGGTATAGAGAAAGCTTTCTATTAAGATGCAAAATAAAGACTGAATTTAACCACATAATAATAAGATTTTATGGTAATAATACTATAAGCAAAATTGAGAAATAAAAGACAAAATAGAAGAAAATATTTGCAACATAACATACATAAGGGCCAATATCCTAATATACAAAGAATTTTCAAAAAGTGAAAGAAAATAAGACTAAAATTCCTACCAAAAAACAGGCAAAAGATATGAACAGATTATTCACAAAAAGAAATACTAAACATGAAAAGATATTCAACTTCACTAACGAAAGAAACATAAGAACTATAGTAAGATACCACTTTGCACCTGTTACATTGGCAAATATTCAAAATGCAATAAAATATTCTATTGAGGTTGTGAAGAAAAAGTATTCTCATACATTGCTAGGAATACAAATAGGTACAACTCCTGTGGGTAGAAAAATCTGCTGATATCCAACAAAACTGCATACACATTTCCCCTTTAATTCCAAAACTCCAGTTCTAGGAATTTATACTAAAAGAACACTTCCAATAAAACAAATGTATAGCACAAAGTTTTTCATTATAATATTTTGTTGTTGTTGTTGTTGTTAGTTTTTGGTTTATTTTGTCATTTTTTTCTTTTTCATTATAACATTTTTATGACTGCAAAATCTGGAAAACTACGTAAATGTTCGAATATAGATGATTATGCTATGGCACATATGCAAAATGCAGTACTAAAAAATAATGAGGAATATCCTATTGACATGCAGCAATTTCCAGGATACACAGTATTATAAAGTAAAAGTGAAATAGAGTATATATGCTAAAGTTTGTGTAAGAAATAAAGGAAAGTAAAGATACCAGAAAATTGTCATTACTTAAAAGGGTAGAGTAGGAGAAGACAGCAGAAGGGACAGGGGAGAAATATACTCTATAGCATCTATATAGTTTTTACTCATGAAAGTATAATAATGTTCTGCATATTCAAAGAATGATATTAAATCCCTAATGATGAGAAAGAGGGAAACTGCAAAAACAAAAAGCAAACAGAAACAAATGAACTCATTTGTGTTTCACATGAATATCAAAACCACAGGGAGGAAACAAATACAAAGAACTAGTTCATGTAACTTAGGAACATAATATTTGACTATATACATTCAGGAAGATAGGATAGGAGTGGTTTGGTGCACAGAAGGATATCTATAAATTACCCTTAAATGACTGAAAAAAATATTGTATCTATGAAAGAGCAAGACAATAAAATGAAGTAAATGATAACTAGGGGTGAATTTGAGTAAAGGGTACCTTTTTTTGTATTATGCTTTGTCTTGAAATTTTTCTGTATGTTTGAAATTATTTTCAAATAAAATGTCAAAAAGTAAATTTATAAAAAAAATTCTCCTCTTTGTACTACTTTCATCACTCTGTTTCCTACTAGTGTCTTGATAAAGTGGTCTTTGTGTCCCATCTCCCCTCTAGCCCCATGGAATTAACCTGATTTCTTCTATTCAGACAATGCTGAATTAGCTTTTTCTAGGTCAGGTGCTTGCTCCCCAGACTGCTGTCCCTTGGATGCTGCTGGCCTCCTTGTTCCATCTTGAATCTTCTCAATTTACTCTATATACTTAGATACTAAACCCTAGACAAAACTCCTACCACTCCTATAAGCTGTCTCTTAGATATTCATCTCTGTCCCAGATCCTTCTCTTCAATTACAGACCTGATTACAATTATCTTTAATCACAGCCCAAATTATCCACCCCCACTCCTCCCTTTGCCTAAACCAGAAGGGGGGGCTCTTATTTTCCTAATCTACTCCAAAACAGCCCATAAAACCAGCTGATTCCATTGCTTAAATAGTTCTCAAGCTCCCACCTCTGCCTCTATCTCCATTTTTGCTGCTAAGACCTTAGTTTAAACCCTTCTAAATTCTCGTCTGAGCTGCTACTATAGTCTCTTTGCCTTCATTCTTATGCCTGTCCACTTCTTCTTCCAATAGCTTTCAAGAATTCTATACAATGCATACCTGATCACTCCCTGCTATGGTTTGCATGTCCCCGCCCAAACTCATGTTGAAATTAAATTGCCACCATTGCAACAGCATTAAGAAATGGGTCTTCCCTACCCCTCCCCTCCTTTCATTTTCTTCCTCATTCTTTACCTCCCTCTGTCTTTCTTGGTACTGGAGATTGAACCCAGCGGCACTTTACCACTGAGTTATATCCCCAGACTTTTTATTTTTATTTTGTCTCCCTAAATTGCTTAGGGCCTTATGAAATCGACAAGGCTGGTCTTAAACTTGCAATCCTCTGCCTCAGGCCTCCTGAATCCCTGGGATTATAAGCATGTGCCACCACTCCTGGTGCATCTTTTTCTTTATTATTTTGAAAAATTATTTATTTATAGTACTAGGAATGAACACAGGGTATTCTAACACTGAGTTACACCACTGGCTTTTAAATTTTGAGACGGGTGTTGCTAAACTGCTCAGGCTGACTTGGGACTTGTGAACCTCCTGTGTCAGCCTGGACCCCTTCCCAGTAGCTGGAATGATAAATGTGTGTCAAACAGTCTGGCTCTCATTTGTTGTTGTTATTTGTTTGTTTTTTGAGATGGTGTCTTGCTATGTTGCCCAGGCTAGCCTTCAACTCCTGGGCTCAAGGGATTCTCCTGCCTCAGTTTCCTGAGTAGCTGGGATTATAAAAGCACACCACAGAAGCCTGACTGAAGTGGGACTTTTAAGAGGTGATAAAGTCATGATGGCTCTGCATCTGTTATGAATGGATTAATGCTATTATCTTGGGATTGTGTTATTTATAAAAAGGCAACCTTAAGCCTGGCACAGTGGTGAATGCTGCTCAGGAGGCTGAAGCAGGAGGATAACAAGTTGCCAGCCTGGGCAACTCTGTAAGTCCCTGACTCAAAATAAAAACAAAAAGGGGGCCAGGTATATAGTTCAGTGGTACAGTGTCCTGGGTTCAATATTCATTAAAAAAAAAAAAAAGTGAAAGGGCAAGTTCAGCTCCATTCTGCCCCTCTCTCTTTGCTGTTCTGCCATGTTATGACTTCCATCATGAGGTCACAGCATAAAGACCTTCACCAGATGCCAGTGCCTTGATCTTATCTTGATCTTGGATGTCTTAGCCTCCAGAACTGTGAGAAATAAATTTCCCTTCATTATAAATTACCCAATCTGTGACATTTTGTTAGAGTAACAAAAAACAAAGTAACACATTTCCCAGGCCAGTCTTCTGCATCCAACCACTTAAAACTGATTCTTTGAACATAATAGACCACGCCACTCGCCACTCTCATCACCTCATTGCCACTACATGCACTGATTCTGAGTCTGCCCTTTCTCTGAACTTTTTAACAGATTCTTAGCTCCTTTCATGTCCTTCGGAATTATCTGGTTGGCTGCTGACTGGCCTAGTCTGCATGTAATCACAAATACTCAACTATATACCTCTCTACGCTAGTCATAAGCCAGGGATCTCCTGGTTCAGGTTCTGTTTAATCATCTCTGTTTGGATAGGTGCACAATGTCTATCACTTGGTGTAGTTCACTCCTCTTATTGAGTAAAATGAAAATAGATCAACATATTCACTGAAAACAGCTCAAAATTCAAATTAATCACTATCATAACTAAGAAAATGTGAAACAAAAATGCAGAACACCAAGATGCACTGGAGTAAGTGCTGCTAAAAACTAAAGGCCTTAAAGAGAATGTAACAAAATATTAATTTATACTCATAAGCAATACTGAAAATGTTCTAGTTATCTCTGAGGCTGAATGCTGCACAAGAAACTTAGATTATGATCCATACCTTGCTTTCTTTACCCTGGTCTTGAGCTATTCCTAGGAATAAAGAGAGATAAGACAAGGTCTAGTCATCAAGATCCCTGCAGACGAGAAAGAATGCCTCACTGGAAAACAATCAATGAGATAAAAATGACAGAGACAAAGAGTCCAGATAGAGGAAATGGATGGGGTTGGGGGGTACAGGAAGGAAAGACTGCCTAGAAGAACTAGAAAGAGGGTGGGAAGAAAAGAGTAAGTAAGAGGGAAGAGCAGGTGTAAAACAACTGATGTTCACCACCCACTAGATATCTGGAACACAGGACAGTTGGCAAAGCTGAACAGGTGGGCAAAAATAAGGGCTGTACTAGGGTCGGACTCATACTAAGGAGTAGACTTGTCTCAGGAGTTTTAAACAAAGGAAAAGCAAATGTATGTAAGGATTTTGAAAAATCATTTATTTTACTAAATCAGAGGTTAGTGATCATTTTCAGTAAAGGACCAAAGAGCAAATATTTTAAGCTTTGTGGGCCATATAGGATGGTGCTTATTGTTTTTTTTTAATATCCTTTAAAATGTAAAAATCAGTCAGGTACAATGGTTTATGTCTATAATTCCAACAACTCAGGAGGCTCAGGCAAGATAATAAATTTGAGACCAGCCTCAGCAACTTTAGCTAGACTCTTAACAACTTAGTGAGACCTTATCTCAAAATAAATAAAGGGAACTGAGGATATAGCTCAGTGGAATAGCAAAGCACCCTTGGGTTTAGTCTCCAGTACCCTCCCCAAAGGGAAAACTCATTCTTAACTTATAGTCCATACCCACAGATTACAGGCCCAGTAGTTTCCCAACCCACTGCCTATTCGATAATATAAAGGAACCAAAGTTACTTTAGGATGGTGTGATAATGGTATTGTAGCTGTTAGAGGTCCCTATTTAAAAAAAATGCCAACTGAAATATGCATGGGTAAAATGGCATGGCGTCTAAAATTTACTTTTAAATACTTCAACAAATTTTTAAAAAGCAAAAATGAGACAAATGTAGCAGAATCCTGAAAAGAAAGATCACTCATACTAATTGCAATGGGAGCATGGATTAAGAGGGAAGAGAATCAAGACCTGGAGTTCTAGCAGGTTATTAAAACCAGGAAGACTAATGTGGGGCTGTCATATGTCCCCTATGACACAAGAAAGGAATTACTCCAAAATCACAACTCTTCCACAGAGAGGGCCAGAAAGGTCCGAATTTCTTAGAAGTTCTCAAAGCT